AATACTAACAAAAAGATAAATTATGTAAAAATATAGTGTTCTTGTTATTTAAATCAGTTTTTGTTATTTAAATTATAATTTAGGAATAGTATTTGAGATGTTTTTTCAGTTATATTTTTTCAAGATCGTCCAGCGTCACAGCACTGAGCAGTGAGCTGAGCTGATGAAGCTGTAGCGAGTCACGCGTCGGGTGGTGTAGTGGTGATACGATGACACCGCTGCGCTTTGCGCTAGGTGCGTCATCCGCCAGTTGAACCGATATTGCGTTATAACGCAATTGAGTTAACGCAGTGGGTTAACGCACTAGTGTGCGCTTGAGTTAGTGTATCAACGCAGGAAATTTTGCTGCGTTACCCATCTCTAATGTTAATTAGATCGCGCACTTTAGAGGTCAAAGTTTTGACGAAAGAAACTGCATTACTTTCGTGATTGAGGCAATTAATTTTTAGTAACTCTAAAGAGTCTAAGAACGATTTTAAATTATTTAGGTCGCCGTCAAATAGGGTGTTTTCTATATACAAAACTTTGCCTAGAACTGCATTTTAATACATAGTATAACATGTACATAAACACCTAAAAGAGTTTATGTTACCTATTTCATGAGAATTTACTAAATATTTAATAATAAAAACCTATATAAAATTCAAATTTCAAAACGATTTGTAAAACATTATCTCATTGGTTTTGACACTGATGACGTCATTACTCATATAAATGGCGGATGGTCTATGTCAAGTCATATGATAGGTATATACCTGCCTTGTATTTTTGATTTGAGAATTATTATTATTACAATTATTCTTAAAAGCTTATCAGGTGTTTTGTGATTAACAGTGATTGTGTTGTACATTCGCAAAACGAGAAATGGCTTCTCAGGGTTTTGTTAAAGCGTCGATGAACAATTTGCCATGTGTTCATATTTTTATGGTTACCGAATTTATAAAGAATGACGAACGCTTCAATGAAGCCGAATTTAAAGGTGTTAAAGCCGCAGCGTAAGTAAACATAATTATTATATTAAATACCTTACATTATAAATAATAGTTATAATATGCAAAAGCTAAATATCCCACAAAACCCACAAAAAATATACCTACTGTCATTCAAGATAACCTATAATATGCATAACCATAAAAGGAAAATTAATTCCTTTCACATTACTTACACTAAATTGCATGTTCTATAATAATCTAATACGAATTAGCCAAATATTTGTTATTTACAGAGCTTCACAAGAAAAATATGGTGACAGTGCAATTGGATATGTGGAGTTGAAATCTATAAGTATAGTTGAATCTATAATAATAGGTGCTTACAAGATTAAAGATACCAAATATATGATGCGAGGCCGAAATTTGGAAAGAAAAGTTGTCAAGTTTGTCGAAAACAAATTAAAGATAAAGGTGAAAGATTGTGGACTGTTCATGTTACCAACATATCCTATTTTCGGAGCTTCACCAGACGGAATTTCACTAGACTATGTGGTAGAAATTAAATGTCCAAGTAGTGAAAAAACTGTAAAAAATTACATAAAATATGATCAGATCACTGAAAAATTTAAAGCACAAATACAACTACAGATGTTGTGTGCAAAGAAGCAAAAGGGACTGTTTTGTGTTGCTGACTCGGAGTTTGAAAAAAACAATGTCAACATTTTAGTTAGTGATTTTGATGATGATTATGTCAAAAAGATCATATCTGAAAGTTTAGAGAATTGGGAAAACTTTGTTTTTCCAAAATTAATAAAAACTGTATGTGACAATTAAACTATTTTTATAAATTAAAATTGCATATGTATATAAACTGTATTTTATTTATTTTAACCTTTAATAAATCTTCAGTTAAAACACCAGAAGTTTTCTATAGTCCAAAGTAAAACTTATTTTCAATTTGTTATATTGAACAAAGTTATTTTTTTAAATTGTTAATGTTGACAATTTTTGTTGACTATTCTGTATGTTACTATTAAACAATGTATAATAGACAATTTTACAATATTTCACTATTAATTAATTACTTGATATTAGTTATATTTATAAAATACGAAATCATGGCAGTCATACTTTGTGTTTATAGCTGTATCACAAATTCAACGTAGGTATGTATGTCATGACAATCAAATTTTTATTGCATAATAATTCATAATAGATACAAAATTTTCTGTATTGTATAGCATTAATATGTTATAGTGGCTGTCAACAATGTGATGCAAATTATATGCTTAATTTAAAAAAAGTAATTTGACACATGACGTGCATTTGTGATTCAATCATACTACATTACATTACGTTATGGTGTGTCCAACTTGATACAAGTATAAATGTCTTTTAGTTATAGCTGTTTATAAGAACGTTATCGGCTTTATATTGCATGCTGTTCATTTAAACATTGATAAATATTATTCTAAATACTACTTATTATTAACCTCTAATTAAATTTTGTATTGTTACATGCAAAGCTTGCTTCTGTTCATCTTTTTTGTCAGTCAATAACTTTGTTTCGGTAATATCAGTATCAGATGTTGCTGTATAGACTGAGGCACTGGATTCTTCAATTTCACTACTTGTTTTTGACTCAATAACAATGGCTTTTTTAACAGATCGAATATTTTTTAGAGGTGAAGTAGAAACATCTTTTGTCCTAAATTTTTCTGGAGAGGAAGTTGCATGGTGCACATCAGGTTTAATTTTGCATGACATACATTTACTACAAACATGTGGTTTCGCCTGTATACCCACACTTTTAACCTTCCCAACTGCTTTTGTATTTTCCACAATATATTCATCCCTTTCTAACCTGGCTTGACCTGAGCTTGTACTGGGCCCATCAAAATCCATTACTGTTGGTAAAAATTCTTGTTCAACATTTCTCTGTTTCTGTTTTTCTTATTCTCCAGGTTATAGTCTTTTTAAAACAACGGTTCGCTGTGGTGCAGATGCAGCTCTTTTTCTGTCTTGTTGGCAATCAAATATATGTGGAACCACGTCCTGTTTTAATAAAACTTTTCCTCCGATAAGTTTATAGCGAACAAAATTTTCCATATCTTCTTGAAGCTAAAAAAAAAAACAATAATAAGTAAACCATGTATACAATAATATATAAGATTATACATATTTAAATAATATATCATTAAAATATTTACTTTTAAATTTTAAAGCAATAAAAAAAGTTTGTTAATACAAATTAACCTCAAAATTTAGAACATTGTCCTTGATGTACATAATTGATATTTACTTACGTTAAAATGATCCTCGCAACAAAAAAAATGTTGATTTTGATTTAGGAACATCTCGCCTGGCTGCTTTAAACCATTTAACTTTGTGTGAAGAATTCTGCGGTACACTTATAAATGTTTTATTAGGGGCACTTATTGAAGTATTTTTACATCTGGGCACAAAACACCACTTATTTTGTGATTCGTACATGTCTTACTTTTTGTATTATATAATTATTATTTAAAAAAATTAAATAAACTTGGCAAAATTTCAATAAAAACAGGAGTAAATAAAAAATGTGAAAATACCCTATTGGCTTGACATAATTTTGCTTGCCAGATTAAAAAGTTCTGCGGCTGACATATTATCAGTAGCGATTTTTTCTGAGTCCGAGTTTACTGGACTATCGTCTACACCGTCGGAATTACAATACAAGAATAAGGCACTTTATATTTTACTCTAATATCAAAAATGACTTAACCGCTTTATCACGAATCAAATGAAATATTTGTTTGCATAGCTTGACTATTTATATCCAGAGAATTCCACGGTTTTGATAATAAATTCGTAAATTGATTAAAATACCTTACTAAATTATCCCTGATATCTTGTCTCACTGTCTCAGATTTTGGGACATTCTTTTTTATAGCTCTCTTAGCATGCTTAATTATGTCATCTTTTATTTCTTCTAACTTTAAAATTAATATTGTCTTACCGACCGACAAAAATTAATCAAGGCTTGATAATTATACATCTACACTTATAGTATATTAATTTATAGTTATTTATATAGACAATTAAATTAAAAAAATATATGTATATAGATTTCCTAGTCATAAAAGATAAAAAAACTAAAAAGAGAAAAAAAATTCACCAATTGTTTAAATTTAAACATACCGTACTTTATCAAATTTCTTACTCACTGTTACACTCCGAAACTTCTCTCACTCACTGTTCTTCTTTCCTACTCACAGCTGCTGGTCCCAGAATTATGCGGCGTTTAGGGAAGCAAGAAATGCTACTGCTAACTTACGTCGCATTTTTTTTGACATTGTGGCGATATGAAGAGATTCCTTTAGTGACTACGTAAATGATCATAATCGCCAGTATCAAGTACAACACTATTTTGACGTCTTTAGTAACATTGTACTCTGTTTCTTGAACAATAAAATTGGAGTTTACAACCCCAGTTTCCTCAACTTGTTGCTCTGTCGACTTCGTATTTCCCATTTGAAATAATTATGAGAATTATAACCAAAAACAACAGTAAATGGTTCCAAAAATTCAGTAGCACTTGCTTAAAATCTGCCCAACAACATCAACAACCAATCACCCACAAAACCATCTTTTTTCGGCAGTGGTGTAACGGTCAAAGTATATTCACCTTATTGCAAACTCTATTGACAATATCCGCCAGGAAACATAGTTAATTTGCCTTAATACTGACGAAAAACAGTGTTTTTTGCACTTTTAGGTTAGGATATCTCAAAAACCTGACGTGATAGAGCAATTCTGCGGCCAGACTCGGACTCAGCGCACCAAAATCCTTCGGGAACGCATATTAGTATGTCTTGTTGACCTGTGTTATTACAATTTGTATTTTGCAATAAGGTGAATATACTTTGACCGTTACAGTTCTCCACAGCCTGGATTGACTTTAAATGTTTTTTTTGCCGCGTGTCCCCACCCCTCGAGTATGCCCCCGATTAGCTGCGGTTGAAGTACTTCCTTGATAACCGTTCGCTTATTCGTTAGGCTAAGGGTATTGCTATCCTTGAGTAAGGGATGGAGCATGGCGCAGGCGAGAACCACCAGTGCAATCCTTGCGCCACCATTTCCATAATGTGCGGTTTCCACATAAGTCGTTGGTTCATCATCACGCCTAGGTATCGCGTCTGTCAGCACCAGGACACGGGCTCCTGGGATAGTGTCAGTATGTCGACGTCATGGGGAATTCTGCTTTCGCAGTGCTTTTGTCGGGATTAATTTAGACTTTCCTCCTGTTGCAGTTTTCAAGTTTGTCTAATTAGCTTTGGAGGAGGGTAGAGGAGCGTCTTGCGTTCGTGGATCGTCGGCGTATAGGCAAGTGTCTGTGTTTGGGTGGTGTGGTATATCAGAATTGTATATGGTGTGGAAATAGGACGGTGCCTTGGGGGACGCCCGCTTCAATGGTTTGGATTGTGGAGAAGGTATCTTGGATTTGAATGCGAAATTTTCGGTGGTGGAGGTAGGACGTGATGAGCTTGGTAAAGGATATGGGATATTGGTTTGGGAGCATTTTCATCAGTAGGCCTTCATGCCAAACCGTATCGAAGGCCTTTGCTACATCCAAGAAGACAACTCCAGTGAATTATCTCCTGTTGAAGGCCGCCGTGATGTTCTCTGTGAGTCGTAGAAATTGAAATTCGATGGCGTGACTGTTCGTCAGGAATGACTCGCAGTTTTTCGGAGTGGGTTTTTAGGCGGTTAAGGATTATTTTTTCTACCACTTTGTTAATAACCGGGAGTAGGCTAATGGGCCGGTAGTTGGTGTGGTCTTTCATAGGTTTGGGAATAAGTATTACGTTTGCTGTTTAATCAGCATGTAGGGAAATGTGAGTCTAAGTGTGGCGTTTGTTATGTTGAGTAGGGCCATGACGCCTTTGTATGGTAGCCTTTTTAGTGTAATTTTGGTCGGGTCCGTAGGCTTTTCTGTTTCTTAAGGTTCGTATTGTTTGACTGAGTTCGTCTGGGGTTGCTGGTTGAATGATGTCATTGCCTGTCTGTCCGTCGACGCTTCGAATTTCTCGTCCTTGTCTGGAGCAATCTACAGTACAGTTCCAGACTGTCGCCAAAAGATGTAGACCATCCCCGTGTTGCTGTGGATTGGGGGATTTCTGTGTCGGACGGGCAGTTGCAGGGCTTTCTGCGTTTTCCAAAGGCTGTTGTCTTGCGGATCCAATGACTCCAAGTATCTGGCCCAGTTTTCCTAAGTCAGATCATCCAGGGCCACCTTCACCCGTCTGTTTAGTACATTTAAGTCGTGTTTGTGTTGGGGGAGGCGGATGCGGGTAGCAAACCGTTTTAGGTGTCATCTTTCGTGTATAAGTTGTCTAGTGCCTTTATGGAGCATACGCCTTGGGTTTGTCAATCGGGAAGCTATTGTCTCTATCGTGGTTTGCGTCAGTGCGTCAATCTGTCTGTAAGGAGTGCTGCCTCCAGGTCATGGGTGGTTTCAATGACTGGGAGCGCGGTGCTCCCTTGCATTTCAGCTCGGAAGCGTCTCAGTTAGTGCACCTCGTCGTAAAGGTGCCCTCATATTCTCGTCTCCGCCCCAAATCTAGCGCGACTGAATTCTGGGCGGTAGACCCTTCATACTCGGCGAATATTTGGGCAATTAGCGGCATAGATTTTAAGGCGTTTTCAGACGAAGCCATACCATAACCATATAGCGATAAATGGTCGCAATATGATTAAAATTTTTCACACACAACAATAGTTAGATATCATAAAATTTTGTGAAGTAAAATAATTATTCGGTGTTGCCAAAGTTGTCTCAGTATGTTGTGAAGTGTCATGGAGGAAAGACGCAGAAGTTTACTACTGACGTTAATTTTAAATCGAAGAAAAGTTAAACAAAGGAAGACTCGACTCAAAAATCGGTGTTTCTGAGTTCATCCCCTGTTACAAGCAAGATACGTAGGTGGCGCCTTTTATACACTTTTCGAAAAATTACTTCAACATGTTACAATTACTTCCGAATGAGCCCAAATACTTTTATTTTATTGGAGAGTGCGTATTAGAATTTATACGGAAAGACAATACAACAATGAGATTAAGTATTCCTCCTAAAGAAATGCAGTTACTTTGAGGTAGGTAAACAAAGTTTAATATTTTCTGTTACAAATAACTAAAAACTATAAGCTCAAAATAACGAAAGAACAACTTAACATATAACGCTTGAAATTTAGAAAATAATAATATACTTTATAATTATATCATATGCTCAAATACATAGTCTTTAGACTGGTATTCTGAAGTCGAAGTTGAATGAGAGGAATGGTAAGACGCAGATGCATGATGATAAGAGCTCATCGTTGGAGGTCTGACTTCTCGCTCGAAACTTTTTTCTTTAATTAGTATAAATAATGTCAGCACTCCCATACGAAACTCTAGTTTTTCATTTTCTGTAAAGTTTTTTATTGCAGGTGTTACGGATATAAAAACTGCTGTCCTCATCTATTTGTGGTGGTGGTGGGAGTTGGCAAGTGGCTTCTAAAGCTTTTAAAATCGCCTTGTCTGTTTCATCTATTTCTGATGTTCTGCTTCGTTTTCGCGCACAAGATGAACTTGGCCCCCATGGTGGATTTATAGCATGTGATGTCACGGATAATACTTCCTCTTCATTTTGTTAGCTCTCTGTATTGTCGCAAATTACTCGATTCAGTAACATCTTTATCTAAAATCTTCAATAAAATTTGAAGTTGATCGAAGTATATTTACTTCTTGATTCTTTTATCGCCACTTTTTTTTTTCTTCTTGAGAAGGGTGTGTGTGGTGTATTCTTCTCTAAAATGATTCCAACTGTCGACAAACTTCTCGGATATTTTCACTTATAGTTGAGATACCTAACCTATAGGTATAATGTAAATCCGTAAATGTATTCCCATTAGCGAGGTATCTGTAAATAATGAAGTATTGCTCTTACATTTTTATCTTCCATAAATATAGAAATGCATAGAACAAGTTCATTAGAAGTTTTAGAGTTTCTAAAATGGTTATTAAGGTTAAAATTCGATTTTGAAAGTTTGCTGCTTTCTTTTCAAATTCGTGTGTCTTCCAGTTATACCGGAAGTGACAACTAACTTTCTTATTTTGATTGTTTGTTTTTGCATTTCTGATTTCTCTATGCCTATAACTTCCAAAGACCTTGTTCCGTGTAACACCCTGTACATATATTTAGGATATATGTCAAAATATAGATTTTCTTCACAGGAAAAGCCGTCAATGACAAATGGAAACACATTCGAGAAGCTTTTGCAACTTACCTGAAAAAAAGTGGCAATAAAATAATCAAGAAATACATATACTTTGATCAACTTCAATTTTTATTGAAGATTTTAGATAAAGATGTTTCTGAATCGAGTATTTGCGGCAATACGGAGTATTGAGACAGTGTTGAGACTTTAGTAAGATTTTAGACTTTATATAAAACGTGGCAGCCCTGTGCAAAAAGCGCTTGGAAGTGTATTAAGGACGGTGGCAGCAGACGAGAAATGTTTTCGCAGAGAGAACATCAAGCAGACATTTTTCTTTTATATACAGGGTGGTCCGAATTTTATGCAGGAAACTTCAAGGACAGATAGATCTCTTTAAAATAATAGGAGTTTGCCTTATAAACATAGGTCTGGAACGGCCTCGTTTTGGAGATACAGGGTGTTGAAGCTGTTAAAAAATATTTTTTGTTTATATCTCAGGAATCTATTAACCGATCTCAATAAAATTTGGCACAAATAATGTACGATAGTAAGCCTAGCATTCCCTAAAATATGAGCTCTAAAGATTTAACTAGTGGTGTACAACTGGATAGGAATCACCCCCTTTTATAAAAAAAACCTACGCCACTGTATTTTTTACAAGCTTTTGTATATATATACAAAGTTTTGTAACGGATTTATATTCTAATGCACTAAATACGCAAAAAAGGTGACTTGAATTTTTCCCTAAGGTTCACCATTTTCAAGTTATTCATACAAATACAATCCCCTTGTGGCAGACACTTCATATCATAATATTACAAAAATATTTATGTTTATGCTTAAAAGTAAGTAAATTTTCGATTTACTCACCCCAAGTTGCCGAGACGTTCTTCGTGTACTTAGCCGAGGATCGTCGTCAAATGCTTTTAAAATTTCATTTCTGTGCCTTTCATTTCTTTGTCGTGATTTTTCAAATATTGTTTTAATCCAAAAAGATGAAAGCGATGAGTGTAAAGAATTTTTTTGATGTGCTTACAAATTGTACTTACTTTTAAGCATAAACATAAATATTCTTGTAATATTATGGTTAGAAGTGTCTGCCACGAGGGAATTGTATTGGTATGAATAACTTGAGAACGGTGAACTTTAGGGAAAAAATCAAGTTACCTTATTTACGTATTTTGTGCATTAGAATATAAATTCGTTACAATAGCTTGTAAAAAATATAGTAGCGTAGTTTTTTTTTTAAATAGGGTGTGATCCTGTCCAATTGTACACCACTGGTTGAATCTTTAGAGCTCATATTTTAGGGAATACAAGGCCTACTATCATACATTATCTCTACAAAATTTTATTGAAATCGGTCGATGGATTCCAGAGATATAAACAAAAAATATATTTTTTTAACAACTTCAACACCCTGTATCTCTAAAACGAGGCCATTCCAGACCTATGTTTATAAGGCAAACACCTACAATTTTAAAAAGACCTATCTGCCCTCGAAGTTTCCTGAATAATATTCGGATCACCCTGTATATCTATATAATATATGTTCAGTTCAGTTGTTCAGTAGTAACAACAAATAGATTTATCATAATAATAATTAGTCAACGTGTGAAGTGTTATTATTATACAGTGCACTAAGTATAAAACACGGAAAGCCAACAAAATGAAGAGGAAGTATTATCCGTGCCATCACATGCTATAAATCCACCACGGGGGCCAAGTTCCTCTTGTGCTCGAAAATAAAGCAAAACATCAGAAATAGATGAAACACACAGCATTTTTTATATCCGTAACACCTGCAGTAAAAAACTTTACAGAAGATGAAAAACTAGAGTTTCGCATGGGAGTGCTGACATTAATTAAACAAATTAAAGAAAAAAGATACGAGCGAGAAGTCAGACCTCCATCGATGAGCTCTTATCATCAAGCATGTGTGTTTTCGTGGAGATAACCAAATACCTTTCCACTACTTAATGCTATGCTACCAATGTTTTCGTATAGATAACTGAATATTTTCCACCAATTCTCTATTAGTATTCTATATTTAACAACATAAATCACGCTTAAAGCGTGCGGATAAAAATACAGATTTTACAGTTTTGACATTTCTAAAAACAATAAATTTTTTTCTCACTAGTCAATTTGATTATAAATTAATATTACAAATGCAAACAATCTGCGTCCTACCATTCCTCTCATTCAACTCCGACTTCAGAATACCAGTTTTGAGACTATGTATTTGAGCAACTGTAATATGAATTATAAAGTACATTATTATTTTCTAAATTTCAAGCATTATATGTTAAGTTGTTCGATTCGTTATTTAGAGCTTATAAAGTTTTTGGTTATTTGTAACAGAAAATATTAAACTTTGTTTACCTACCTCAAAGTAACTGCTACCATTTCTTTATGGGGGATACTTAATCTCATTGTTGTGTTTTTTTCCGTCTAAATTCTGATAAGCGTTCTGCCAATAAATTAAAAGTATTTGAGCTCATTCATAAGTAATTGTAAAATTTTTCTTCATGTTGAAGCAATTTTTCGAAAAGTGTATAAAAAGCACCATCTACGTATCTTGTTTGTAAAAAGGGATGAACCCAGAAACACCGATTTTTGAGTCGAGCCTTCCTTAGTTTAACTTTTCTTCTTTGATTTAAAAAATCAATGCCAGTAGTAAACTTCTGCGCCTTTCCTCCATGACACTTCACAACATGCTGGAATACTTTCGCAACACCGAATAATTATTTTAGTTCACAAAATTTTATGGTATATAACTATTGTTGTGTGTGAAAAATGATTACCATATGGCGACCATTTATCGCTCGCTATGTATGGCAATGGTATGGCTTCGTCTGAAAATGCCCTTAAGATGGTTATGTCTACTACGTCGGGGTGGCCAATGAGTCCGTAGAACGTAGATTCTGTGGGCCCGAGTATTGTTATGCCGTCGTGTGTCATATGGGGGACTTCGCATTGAAGTCCCTGATGACAATCATCTGGGGCCAGTATAGGCTTTGGTCTAGTTCTAGTCTAGTTTGTTCTCTATTTTGTTTGTAAATTGTCACAGTCGGGGATGGAAATTCGGGAGGTCTCGCCGAGTTTGGTTTCCTGGATGGGCATCACACCAAAATCTAGACGATTTTGGATATCCACTAGTTCCAACTTCTGAACGAAATTCTCAGCGAGGAGGGTTTGGTAAGCAGACGAGCCATTAGTTGAAGTTGAACAATTTTTGCATGTTCTACATCATGACTGGACACATAAGTCTTGAAGACGCATTGTTGCATCATTCAGGGCCGCTGCGCTTGGTTCGAGGGTGCCGTGTTTGTGTTCAATGGGGTGTTGTTTTATGTGCGTATCTGTTTGTTTGGTGGGTTTCGTTGTAGTGTTTTGGATTGAGTCTTTTTTGTCATGTGAGCGTAGGATGGTCCGGGGGTTGGGATGGGGGTGGATAGTAGTGGTTGTTTGTGTGTGTGTGGAGGGGGTTGAAATAAGCACTTCCAAGTTATTTTTGCTACAGCCATTCTTTTTTACAAAAATTGAATATTCAAGAATACGTATCAGATAGCCTGGTTTATTTTAAAACTTTTACCTCACTCTTTTTGTTTTAAAACTAGCCGTTTATTAACAAAAAAAATTAAATTCATATCATTCACATTACAACTCGCACGATTGCATCTAAGAAATACATATTTAAGTATTTTTTGAATGTCGAAAAATTGTGCCGCAGCGAAAAGAATATACCACCAGAGGCATCCAATTCATCCGGTTCCTTTCTCATCGGTAGAAGGAGACTTCGACAAACTGGGAGGATACAGCCTCATCGCGAGGGAAAAATAATATCCATTGTAATCTAAACACAGTATAATATGCCTGTTAAAGTTGTGTGCAAAAATTTCTAAATTGTTGCCGATCTGGTTGTACATTCTTATTGCTACGTCACAATTTTTCCGACATTTAAATATACTTGTTCATGTCAACATAGGTATCCATCATTAATAAAATTATTTGCCATAATTCTTGTCAAGTTATCATAAAAAAATTATTGAGTAGCAAATCCAAGGAGGCATTTGCAAAAGTCACAAAGATCTAATGACAGAAATTAGCTTGACAGCCGCCTACTTAAATATTTCTTATTGTTAGTTGCAATCGTGCGAGTTGTAATGCAAATGATAATGATTATTTTTAATAAACGGATAGTTTTAAAGCAGAAAGTGAGAGGTAAAAGTTTTAAAATAAACCAGGCTAAACGATACGTATTTTTGAATATTCAATTTTTGTCAAACATAAAAGTTGTAACAAAAAATAATGTAGGGGATCCTTAGTTCAACCCCCTCTAAGAAAAATTGTTGAGGAGTTGCACATGTATTAGTATAAAATGTGTGTAAAATTTTACTATTATACCTTTTTTGATTTTCAAGTTCCAGCCGCTATTCCATATTTTTTTTTTGTTGTTGGAAACTGAGAGGCTGTATCTCCTAAGCGGTGAACATTTTACCAACGTCATTTCTATGCAAAACGTGTTCTTCTTAGTTGTACATTCGTCGGTATCTACTTCATTTGAAAACACCCTGTATAAGTTGTAAATGTCAGCATCGAACACATTTTTTAAAAATTGATTACATAAAAATGTATATTAATATTTGCAATTTTTATATTTTTAAAATAGAAAATTAGGAAAAAACAAGGACATTTAAATAAAGGGAACTATACATGTCACAGTCTATCTCATATGTTGGGTGAAGCTAGGCAAGGGGAAAGCAGAGGGCTTTATTTTCATCCAACTGATGCGCGCGATTACATCTCCAATGTCGTACGTTTTGGAAGGGTCAAAATAAAATATTTTATAGTCCTAAGTCAATATATTTCAACAGCTACTCAGTATTTTTATAATATATATATATAATATTTTTATAAATTCTTGGAATCCCAATAACTGTAACCATTTCTTTCTTGTTGCACCATCCCCAAGCATCCTAAAAACATTCACATTTCACTTTTAGAATACTGAGGCAAACTTTCAGTGAGACATAAAAATATATTCCCAAAGGAGAACATCAATATGGTTGAATGAATGCAACTTTCAGTTGACTGCATCTTCGGTATTTTTATGTATAAGTGAACCACCACCATATTTTTGCTGTTGTATTTATTCAGTTTTTATGCTCGTGCATTTAGTAAAATTGTAAATATATTTTTGAAAAGGTTTTTGTCGTAGAGGAAATTGAAAATGATGAATGATTAAAATTTGTAATGTTGGGTATGAGGGATAACATTGAAATACCTATAAATATATTAAATATAAATAATGTCTGTAACTTATTTGTGGTGCAGCATTTTCCTTTGATTTTAATGGCCAAACATGGTTCATATTATTGTTTTCTTACTATCTCAGCAAAAATTTTCAAAAAATACCAAGTCAGTTTTATAAAATTTTACCGTTATTCAAACAAAAGTTACCCACAAGCACGACAATGGCCAGAGTTGCATATACATTCCAAAGTCACCTTCAAGCACGCTTACCTGTGGAAGGATAGCTGATGTGGATGTTTATAATCCAATTTTTTACAAATTCTGCACTTTCCAACCATATTCACGCCTTAAAATTTTATCCAAAATACATATATGTATAAACACTAATCACGTTTCACTTACTAAAATCACAACTATTTTCTAACAAGAGACGCCATATTCTGCCAACCACGGCAAAGCGAACGAGGAACACGCTACAAATTATTGCGTAGTTGCCAAGTCTTCAAGCATGGCAAATATGAAAAATGAAAAATAGTTTAATATGTACAGAATTTAACAATATTGTATGCATAACTTAATAATACTATCCTATAATAATAATTTTCACAATTGTGATGAAAATTGCGATAAAAATATTAAGTACATTTCCAGTATAATTATACAGCTAACAACAATGATACAATTAGACTGTTAATAGACGAGGCATCATCCAGAAATGTAAATAAATAAGTCCCCTTTATTTAAATGTCCTTGGGAAAAAACGAACAAATAAGAGAATTTTAACATTATTTATACCTAAAATTGAACTTGAAATTGAAATAAGTTACAAATACCAACACCTCTCGTAATTTATGTGATAAAAATTTTGTAATTTGACGTTAACTTATGCTTTTTAATCCAGTTGCGCATTATACGCAATTTTTGGGAAATAAAACTGATGATAAATCACGTTTTTCTAAAAACTAACAACCCCTAACAACTAACATATTCCCGATGTTAGCGTTGTGGGAGCTGTTGGTCTGATCAGCGCTGTCACCGTGTCGTTAGCGGAGGCTGTGTCACAGCGTCACAGCATAGTAAACATTTTCTGTGGCTGTGTCCTATATTATTTGCGCAAGGGGTATTGTGTATTTTACTAATTACTTACAGTATGGAGCAGCGAAGACAGATTTATCAAATATTTTGATTAGTTTGACCGCTTTAAAGTCGCCTTAGACGGTTGCACCGATATCATAATATATGCAATTTGAAACCCTCCCGTAAACATTTCTTGAAAGTTTGAAAACATTAATAAATTAAATAATACATATTAAAATAATATTGAAAAAGCATGGCAAATTGGCTATCATGCAGAAGAATGTTTGCACCACATTTTATTTGGAAAAAAAATAGTTAAAATGTAAATCAATAAAAATTGATTTCTTATATACATGACCTCTCTTTTGTTTCAGTGCCCGGAGGATTTTAAATAACTTCAAAACTCACAACGAGTTCCAGGTGAAGCAGTACAATGCAATAAAACATTCTTCCGTCTTGCGTGCCTTTATTTCGTAAGTTTATTAATTTAATTAAGGAAATCTTTTATTTTTAACATTATTTCGATACCTCGCAGTTATAAAATATTTGTCATATATTTTTGAGACCAGAACACTAATTTGTAAAATTTACGTATTCACGTAACACAATAATTTTTTTTAA